ATATCTCAGGCATAGTCACGGGTTTACAATAAAAATCTCACCTTAAAAGAACAACAAGGAAATACAACTAAAGTAACAACCTAGTCTAAGTTCTTGTGCTCATGTCTTCACTTCTGGTACCATGGTTGCTGCTACCTGAACCTGCAAAACATGAAACATCTCTACAACATCATACAATAATGTCGGGTGAGTTATATATTCTTTCTAATATCATGTTCTTCTACTCTTTCTATCTTTCATATATAATATTTCATCTTCTCTTCTATCTCATATGCTACATCTTAAACTGTTATTCTTACGGGATAGACTACCAGTCTTTTCTCATCTCACCACATGTATCTCTATTCTTCTATCTCTCATCATGCATCAAAATTCTTTTCTCTTATACTTGTAATTTATCCTCTATTATTCTTCTCCAGTAGCATACACTACTATTCACTACAAGAAAAAGACCCTTTTACGACGCGCAAACTACGTCACTCGCTGGTTTATGTTACGCAAAAGAGAGTGACATTAAAAAAGCGTCATCTCTTCAAAAAATTTAAGAATGTAGGTCACGCATTATTGAGTGCCCTTAAATTAGTGTCTCATCTGAAAAAATTAAAAACACGGAGGGCACTTGTGCGTCCTCTGTGAATGTCGTTTTATATTTTTTTTTAAGAAACGAGCTCCTTAGAGGGAAAATGAAATCCCCAAATTTTTTCAACCCCCGCCTTCTTCTCCCTCGTCTCTACCCCTCTGTGAATGTCGATTGTAGCGTCGATCGACAACCACGATCCATCAGCCATCAATCGAAGCTACCAGATAAACAACCCCTCCACCTTCTCGTTTCTCCTTTCCACCAGGTTTTCTTTAATCTATATCCTCCGCCTTCTCGATTGCAGAGGCATCGTTTTACAATTCTTTTACCAAACACACATCCACTATCCTCAGTTACAAAAGACGTCCAAATCTAGGGCTTTTTTCATAAAATCTCATTCCACCTCATCTCACACGTACCTCTACACAATCGACTGTCACCACCATTCCTATCATCCACTGCCGCCCTGCCATCTCTTCCATCACCACCACTTTCATATGGAAAACTTTCAAGAAGCCTCGTCTTCCATATGAAGAGGAACGACCAGATGCACTCTGGAGGGTTACCACCAAGTCAACCCATATTCACTCTTACACCTCTTTAGTTTACATTTCAGGTCTCTCTCTCTCTCTCCCCCTTTCTTTCTCTCTCCCCCATCTTCAAACCACCAGAGAATTGATTGACGTGATCTATGTTTCTTGCTGAACTTTGAGGTTTTTCTTCAATCTGTAGGGATGTAGGCTCACATAGAGGAAAACGTTCATGCTTATAATTCCTTTACAATTTTTTCCTGTTGAGACTTGAAAATTTAGGAAATCGTTTGTTAATCTGGTGTGTTTTAAAATTAATTGAATTCACTATGTCACTAGACTTATACAGGCCGAGTTCAGATGGTTATATTAGGTGGACTTTCTTTCTTACAAGAGATAAAGAGGAAGGAAGAAGACATAGGCGTGATCTACAACCACCTGCTCCAGCGGTGACTCCCACTCCACCTCCCGTCTACCATAACTAGGAAATCCTAGAAATTAGAAAACCCTTCTTTGGGAGATTTAGGGTTCAGACTTCATTCCATCTCTCACTCTCCGCCATTTTTGTCCACGAGTGCTGCATCACCGTTGTCACCATCTATTCCATCACCCACCACAGTTGAAATTGATGAAACCCTACCTTCTCCTACTTTCAACGCCTCAAAATGGGTTGTACATGTCGATGTTTCTTGTTTTTTTTATCCGATTTCTCTCAAAATCAAATCGACCCAAAACCCTAGTTCTTGTTGCTTAAATCAATTTCAATGGTGAACCTCCGACTTCATTGCTTATGTGAAACAATTGATCCCTGAAACTACTGATGAACTATGCATACACTACTGAGGTATTTTCATCACTTTTAAAACATGATTTATCTTATTGCATATAGATATTGTTGGACCTGCTATTCCACGCGCATATAGATTTTGTTTGACCTCCTACCCCAGTTTGTTGATCTTTGAATTATATGTTTATGGATTGCAGAACGGTGTTTAAATAGCCATCCAAAGCAACATCCTACAATGGCTGAGGTTATGGTCGGACTCAATTCTATACAATTTTTACAAGAGAAAACCAATAATACATTGCACCTTGCAAGCATGACCATATTCGGTAGAAAGATGCCAATGTTTCTCTTCCATTCAAATGGGGAAAACCCAGGTATGATTCTATTTTCATCATTAACATATTCAACTTATATAATTGCAATTACCAGGGTTGAAGTAGGCCACTCAGATAGTGCTAGTGCAGTTTACCAGTTTTTTATATCTGCAATTCCAAGTTGTACTTTTACACATCTTTTTTTATTCTTTGTATTTTGTTCTGGACCCTTATTTCCTTACACATATATGATTGCTTCCTCTGCTTTTATTCATGTAAACAAGACCAAAAGACTTCTTGCTAGGATTGATTGTTACATACATTTCTCATACCCCCTAAACAAAATGGGGATATAAATTGGCAGCATTGTAAAAAGGTTAAGTAGATAAAGGCGTTTGGTTGACCTTTCAACAATTAATAATCTAATTGTTGGGTATGTTGTCATGTGAGAATAAAATTTCCAGTGCCATTTTATTTTGACACAGAGTATATTGAATATTCCCTCCCAAATAAGAAACCCAAATTGATGAACATGTGTTTAGAAAATTGACTATAATTTGTTGTTGATCATGGCATTGGTGGATGATAGTCATATACTTATCTGAACCAGTGTTTATATAAAGTGTTTGGGGAGTATTGACAAACCCTTTGACATTGCTCCATTTGCAAAAACTTTTTTTTGTGTACATAATTATTTAAAGTTAACCTTTGTTTTTCTTTGCTTCTGGTTATATCAATACCTATTTTATCAACTTATTCTTACATAGAAATGCTTTTAGGGTTTTCTCTTCTTGTAGCTATCTATTGTGCATCACTAATAAGGATTTGTTTTATCAGTAAGTAAATATTATCATTATATTAGCTATGTATATTAAAATATATTTTAATCTTGTTATGCTGTTGTACAGGTGTCACTGGTGACTGGATTCTTCATTTTGTTAAATAAACTTTAGAAAGGTATGCACACATCACCCTGCAAACAATGTTGGTATTCCGTCTTTTAGAAAAACTTCATCCCTCTTCTGTTGCTCTAGTTGTGACTTAGATGTCACAGACTCTATACATTATTATAATTTATACAAAACAAGTTAAGTATGCTTACTTATAGACATAGAAAATGTAATACTTCCAATTTCTGTTTCTCCTGCAAAAATATATAATGAAATATTTTGGCTCTGGGCCCGTCTCTCATGATAGTGTTCATTGTATTTGGTGGCTATTACGTGAATGTCGATAATACCCCTATCATTTTTCGACGGATTCCTCGTGTTTCTCTTATAAGATGTGGTTTGACTACATTCTTCTCTTATTATATACATATGTCTTTATTATAAAATAAAATTGTTACTGTTGTTTTTTTTTTAATACAAATTCTGAAGATTATTTGATTACTTCAACAGGGCATTTCAAGGTCTTTGCATTAATAATTTCGAGGGCTTGAGTTTGATCAAGAAAATTATATCATATATAATCTGGAGAACAGGTGAGTGAATACTGAAGCAAATGACATCTGCATGCATATGAACCCGAACTAAAATCCTTTATAGCAACTTCAGTTGTCTTGGATCTAACTGTCCAATCATTTTCTAGCGACAAAACAAATCTACAAAAATACAAAAATGGACTTCAGCTATAAATAAGTAGTAGCATTTCTTTTTGGCTTAATGTAGAAATACTTTTACAAATTTGTCTTCATTTAGTTATTATCCGTACATACCTAGACACAGGAGGGCAGTAGTGGTGGCGCAGGGTGTCAATTTCCCATAGAGAACTCCCTGCAATATATATATATATATATATATATATATATATATATATATATATATATGAGAAACTCATTTTCATTTGTTTGTTTAAAACATTGTAGTTTGCCAAAAATAAATGGAAGTAGAAGGATGCTATAAATATAATGCACATTGCACAATTCAAAGAAAGTATGTTGCAGAAACTTACTCATAGCATTGGTTTTAAGAAGATCAGTTTCCTCATTATTGAAATGATCAATGCCTGATTTGACTGTTTCAGTTTCTCCATCATCCTCCTGCAAAAATAAAAAAATAAAACCATTCAAGGTGGAGCTTATAATCTAGTTCTAGTACATATAAAAACTATCATAATACAATTTTTATCATCCAATCCAAGCATTATGATGAATCAAGTAAAAGATATACAAAATAATGATTAAATTTTTTACCTGATGGACTAAACAGTTGATTGAAGGATGTCTTCTCAAAAGATTATGAATAAGAGCAATAATAACAAGACCTCCAGAAGTAGGGACTATAAGTGCTAGCTTGCTTAGCTTCTTAGCAAAAGCAGCAGCAAGATAAGCTGGAAGAAGTGGCGATTTCAGACATGCTTAGCTTCTTAGCCCCAGCTTCTTTATTTATGTAAACCTAGTCCTTCTAATTCCATAGCTGTGAAGGAGACGTTCATCCATGCAAAGGTTTTATATTTGTTCTAATTAGAGTTGTGTTGTAGTTTGGAAAACTGAAATGTTATTCTTCAAACTACATAACATGTACTTGATACTTACACTGAAATGTTATTTCATCATTGTAGTTGGGAACACTGCTGCACAAAAGAGAAAACAAAATGCAGTTTCAGTTGGTAAAGAAAGAAGAGAATCTTTATTCAAACTACATAACATGTACTTGATACTACTTTCACTACTAGAAAAACAGTTTCAGGGCCTTTTACGACGCCCAATCACCGTTATTTTCAGTCATGTAGGGTTTCTACCAAAGTATGTAAATCATTTGAAGGATATGAACTTTTTAAGAGAGGATTTGGTCTTCAGTATCCATAGTGATCAGGTAACAGTTCATTTGGATTCAAATTCCTTTCAAAATAACTAGTTGCTTTTCTTTATGATTTTAATTCAATTCAGGGCACTGATTTTGGAGTTGATACATACTTTGGTCTTTGCACATATCCTGGTAGGGAGCTGAGGCATCTCATTGATTTGAAGGTACTAAATTTTTATTATATATATATATATATATATATATATATATGAAGCAACAGTAGTGAGAGAATTATAGTTGAAATGATGCAGGAGTTGGACTTGTGATGAAGAACAGAAATTAGGGTTTGATGAAATAGGATCAAATAGAGAAAGATTGAAATAAAGAAGATGATGAAATAGAACTAATTGATTAAACTATAACACAATCTAAAAGATTGCCCAAGGAATCTCCCTCTCTCTAAGCCGAAAGCTTAAGAGCCAATACAAATCGTATTACACTATCAAATTTCTAGACATCCTCTACTGTGACCTTTCTCTTTATTTATTATAATCCTAGCCCACCTAGGTGAATTTCCTGTTTTGCCCTTTACCGATCCTTCTAAACAAAACCTATAAAACTCTTGCTTAAATGGTACTTGGGCCCAAAACTTCATGATTCCTATCAACTTGCTTATAATTTGTTTCTAATTTTTATAGGTGTACCCAAAGGAAATATATCCATTTGGGCTAATTGCATAGATAGGGAATGATGTGTTAAATAGAAGGTATGCTAATTTCATTGACATCCTACACGGCATATATCATCTATCATATACTATATTCTGTTAATGTTACTTCAGCCTAAAAGTGACCTTCGCAACCTTTGGTGTTACTTTAGCCTACATGACATATATCATATATCAATAAGTTTAAGGATGAATTTCACAAAAAAGAGTACATAGTATGTACTTCAAATTTTGTTTCAGTTTATAATTCATAGTCATTTGAATGAATATTATATTCTTTACATTATTATTGCAAATATTTCAACTCTTTATACTTTTTACTTTCAATTTTTACTTATGACTTTTAGACTATGAATAATGAGATAATTAATATTGACTCCAACTATGTCTTATTTCATTTTTTTTCAAACTTTTTATTACTAATTTATCATTTTCTTCAACAACTTACTTAAGAAAAGCTAATAACCAGTTAATTTCACATATTATCATTTTATTCAACAACTCACAGTAAGTTTTGCTTGTTAGATTGATATTCGTTAAAAGCACTCAAGTTTAGTTTTATATGAAATTTCTGATAACATGTCATGGGTGTTCAATTTTAGGAGAATAAAGGATATGGTTGTTCAATCTAAAGGAAGCCTTCTGCTTGAACTGCAACAAAGATCCACAAAATTTGATTCTATAATTGAAAAGCATCAGAATATAAGGTATGGAATTGTGGATAGTAATTTTGATAGTTTAATACAAAAGATTGAATTGAAGTAATTAGTAATGGTATATGAAGGTCTGCACTGGTTGAAAGGATGCGAGTTATTGAAGAAGCAAGTTTCAGTGGAAGGAGGAATGGTTCTACTTCTATTCCTTCAACTTAAATGGGAAGAAGTGTTCTTAATGGAGTTATTAAAACAACTTCTGCTCCTTTAGTGGACTTGCTTGATTTAGGAGGAGGAGAAGAACCTCCTCCACCAAATACAAATAGCATGATGATAGGTGGCAACTTTCTTCAAGGTCTTCTTGATGTTGGCATGTCCCCATCTTCATCACAACCAGGTTAGCTTTAGATTCAAATCATATCAATTTGTTTCTTTTGTTGAAAATTGAAGTCGTATTCTTGTGTGTGTGTGTGTGTGTATATATATATATATGTCATAAGTAACATATGGCCTTTTTACTTTTGTTTGTTTCAAATTCAGTTACAAATGCAAACCAGGCTCAAAAAAGTGGCACAGATGTTTAGCTGCTGAATCTACTGTCAATCGGATCACCTCCTCATCAAAGTGGTTCATCTATGCTTAGCAACCGAAATCTAGAAAGGTTATTAATCTGGTCTGTTTTTTTTCTTTGACAAACAAAACAGGTGGATGCATTTACTGATACGGTGTTTAAAGGAAATCTGGCGGTTGTGTGTTGGTTAGAGGGCATAAAAAAATATGATAAATGGTTGCAGTCAGTTGCGGCTGAAGAACCCTAGATTCCATCTCAGATGGTTCACTCCTGTAGCTGAGGTTACCATCAGTTTGAATTTCTTCTATAGATTATCACCTTTATTTATATGTTTGTTTAGGTTACCATCAGTTTGAATTTCCATCTCAGATGTTCTGTGTGTTGTTTCTAACTCAAGATTTTTTTGTTTTAGGTGACAATGGATCACAGGCCTCCACACCTCACACTTAGGGTACCAGCTGCCTTCTAAAGGGTTGTACCTTTAACTTCTAACATAAATCCAATCAAGATTTTGCTTGTTTAGTTGATTCTTTTTCTTAGGCATTCTTGACTCATCTTGGATTAAAGCATTGTTATCTTATCTGCAAGTAATTACTTTCCAGCCACCCCCGGTGGCCAGCCACCCATGACACGAAGTTCAACATTTTTATGTGGTACACCAGGTGGCAAACCAATGACATGAAGGATCGGGTTATATAGTGAGAGAGGTAGTATAAGGTTATATAGTTAGGGAAACCCCCTTAATAACAATGTACTATCAGATTAATATGAATGTATTTTAATTTTTGATAACTTGTTTGGCATGATGTTATTGGATCAAATTGATTATTTTGGTATATATTTGTTTCCATATTTATGCAATGGATTCTATTTTTTGTATATGATATTTTATTTTCTTTTATGAAACATTAAATACAAATTTAATTTGACAATAAGTAAATCTATAAATAATAATTTTTTTAAACATTTAAAATTATGATACGCAAAAATGTGTGTCATCTTCATTTATGACATGGCCTTTCTTGACAGGGGCTTTCTTGAATGCATGTCGTCTTCCTTTATGACACGCGAATGCATGTCATTTATGACATGGCCTTTCTTGACATGGCCTTTATGATACGCAAAAATGTGTGTCATTAACACGTGCGTCGTAAGGTTATGACACGCGAATGCATGTCGTCTTCCTTTATGATAGGGCCTTCCTTGATACGCATTGCGTGTCGTAAACGCGCGTCGTAATTGTGCGTCGTAAATAAGCATCGTAAATGCGCGTCGTCTATAGACGACGCGCAAAAGCGTGTCGTCTCTCTTTATGACAGGGCCTTCCTTGACGCGCATTTGCGCGTCGTCTGAGCCTTTTACGACGCGCAATGAGCATCGTAAAAGGCTATTTTTCTAGTAGTGATTCTTACTAATCATTTATCTCTTCAATCTTTCTTACCCTCGTATCAGACTCATCTCATACTTTGTACATACTCTAACTTTATCTCTAATTCTTTCTCTTCTCTGCTCTAACTCTTACTCTTACTCTGTTCTACCTCTTATCTAGTTTACTCTTGAAAGACCCCAACTTTCGTATTTTTGAAAGACCCAAACTTTCATAACTTCACAATATCATTACTCCAAAACATGCTATTTGCATATTTATAAAAGCAATATTTTACATTGATAAAAAGGGAATTACAAACTATTGGATACAAACCTTCTATTACAAAGTGTTATATATATATATATATATATATATATATATATATATATATATTACATAACTACCCAGGATATTGTAATTTATACAAACATAAAATGTAGTACAAAAGTACTGTTACAAACTATTCTACATTTTTCAATAGTAGGTAAACATACTAGTTACTTATCACCTGCAATTGTTAAACATTGATAGGGTAAGCGGTGACGCTTAGTGAGTTCAAAAATAGATACAATATAATGTTATGCCATATATATACTTCAATGTGGCAAAAGCAAAGAGGAACAACAAGATGTATGTGAGATTATGTGACAAGCGTTCATATAAATCCAAGACTTTATTCAAAGATATACTTTTCAATTCTTGATATACATCAATAAAGCTTTGGCCCAAATAGCATAGAAAACATGCAATTTCTGAGTAACATCTTGTTAGATTTCAGGGTTATAGTCCTGTCTAACCATTTGCCAATGCCATAGAATAGAAGTCATTCTCTTACGGAGACATGCTCTACATGGCCAGAGGCTACGTACCTGTACCAATGTGAATCTAAGTCATTTCATTGATCACATGGTCAAAGGTATTACAATTGCTATAAACATAGCGAATAACACGAGAAAATAACTCAGAATGATAATACTGAAAAGCACATAGCACATATAACACATAACATACAATTGTTCCTATATATTGAACTCACCTTAAGTTAACCGGGGGTTAAAATAGTAATTTGGACATCACTTCGGCTTTAAATATGTCTTTCTATGTTGAAAACCGGGAGCTTGATTGAAAACCAGGCTCTGCAAAGGTAGGGCTTCAAAACCAAAAAGATAAAATTTCCGGGCTTCTCGGGGGTCTCGGGACGTGTTTCGGGTGCTAAATTGATATCGGGGCTTCGGGGAAAGTCAAAATGAAGAAAATATGGAAAGAGGGGCTAAAAGTGGCAAATTTCCAAAGTTAGTCTGAAGGTCTCGCAACCCCCTTTATATAGGGCCGAGGTTTGGAGTCGGCTAAGCAGCGAAGGGCTCGGTGGCAGCAGCAGCGAGGGGTAGGTGGCGAGAAGGGGAGGCTCGGATGCGAGGGTCGGATACGAGGTTGGTAGGCGAGACGTGTCTCGCTCCTGCTGGACCTCGGCTTCGGCGAATCAGAAGGGAACACGCGTCGGTCTCGGGAAGCAAGCAGCAAAGCAGCTCGGTTTGGGCCATGTCTCCGGTGACGCACCTGCTTCGTGCGAGGTGACGTGGCCGGTACTATTCATGCGAAATTCTTCGATTTTCGGGCCCCAAACTTCTAAATTCCATAACTTTCGCATACGACCTCCGTTTTTGACGTTCTTTATATGCACGCGTAGCTAAAATTACGCTCTACAACTTTCGTTTACACTTCGTCGGCTAATTTTGATTTATTTTTAATATTATTATTTTTAACAGACCGGGACAGGAAAATCCGTTAAAAATTCATAACTTCTTCACCCGACATCCATTTTCGTCAGACTTTTTACCGTTGAACTACAAATGATGACACCTTCGATTCTCGTTTAGGATGTATTGGTAAAATA